CCTTAAGCTTCGATGAACGCTATTACACAAACAGGGAGCAGAGCTAGAGGTGTCCCAGCTGGCTTTTTTCTACCTTTTATTTGGCAAGTTGGCGCATAGCCACCAGACAAAGCGGCAGACGCCGACGTTTGGCGGCAATGAAGCCATAGCCATGAAATGGAAATGCATTCAAGTGTGTTTAAGCCGGTGCAGCCTCCTCTTTTCCCCTTTCTCTCTCTCTCTGTCTCTATAAAATACCCTCTTTGAGGCCAACTCCCACTCCCTTTTGGCCACGGCCAAATACGTATGCGACTTCAGATAAGACGTGCTCGATAGAGTCCACAGAAAAAATGAACTCATTTTACGCCTGCATCTTTGTGACTATCCAGCTCCCCATTCCCCTTTCCCATTTTCCTGCATTTCTGATTTGAGCACTGGAACAAAAAAAAGTTTAGAACTTATTTCTTAGAATAAGAAAGAAAGGAAGGAGTACTTAAACACAGTCTTAAATGCTGTAATATTCCTATAAATTCCAGTTATTCTATTATTATTATTGTTTAACAAAAAATAGGTTAATTTAGTAATAAAACAAAAAATCATTTTGGATCCCTTTTAAATAAGAGAGCATTTTAATCTATATATACAAAATATATTATAAAAATCCAAAAGTTTTTAAGGCAATCATTTATAAATCATTTAGAATTCATAATCTTTAAGCTGTGAAGAAAAATAATTTCTTAAAAATGTATTTATCCAATTAAATCAATTTTCCTTTGTGAGTACCCATGTTTTCTCGCAGTGTGGCTGTGTGTGTAGCCGTTTGACGTTAACAAGCACAAGCGTACGACGGAATTGAAAAAAACCGTAGGAAGGAGTTTATCAAGTCAATTGAGACCTGCGACAAAAGACCAAGCACGGCGGCAGCGGCAATATCGCATTGGCAGCAGCAGCAACAACAAATACAACAACTAATACAACAACAATCAGAAGAAGAAGAAGAAGAAGAGTCGCCGCTCGTGAGCAGCAGAAGCGGGAGCAGCGCAGCATCATCAGACTGCTTTGGGTTGCAATGTCTGAATCATCAGCGTTTGGCAGCATTGTCGTGTGCATGTCGTCGGTATCTTTATCAGAAGGCCCGCAGAAGAAGCTCCACAAAAATACAAAAAAAAAGAAGAAAATACGCTGAAGAAAAAAAGTAGGAGATGAATGCAGGGCGACAATGCCATCAGTCGAATGGCGGAGACTGCAGTTTCTCCAGATTGGCGGACAAAGGCGAGACACAGTGGTAATATCGCAGAGGAATCTAATTTGCATGCAATACGATTTTTGATAAAAGCTTTTACCCCAACATCAAATAAAACGACAATGCAACACACAGCGGCACACTTCGGAGTCTCTGGTCTTCGGTCTGCAGATGTGTCCGTGCGCCTCGCACTCGACTATTCATAAGAATAACAGCCAAAGCCAGATAAGAAAAGCCAAAGACAGATATAGATTGGGTGTGTGGGTGTGTGGGTGTGTGTGTGTGTGTGTGTGTGAGGAGATTTTCCCATTTCCACTGATGGTTGGGCGGTGGGTTGGTTTGAATTTTGGGTTTGGGTTGCTTTGCAAGTTACCCCGATGGCAATCAAAAAGTGCATTTGCGTGTGCCGTTTGCCGTCGCCTCGAGCTGAGCATTCGACTAACCGAGTATCTGAGTATCTCAGTATCCGAGTATCTGAGTATTCGAGTTTTTGGAGTTTTTTCCAGCATGTGCATGCGAAAGTGCTCGGCTGCTGCTGCTGCAGGTAACTAGTTGCGACTCCCGGAGAGTGCCATGAACTGCAAGTCACAATTTGACACATGATCCATGGCATTGTCGTGTCTGACACGCGTTTTATCTCCGCTCTGGGAATCTCCCCAGTGTGCGGGGGGCGGGCGGGGGCGTGGCCGGAGGCGGAATGGGAAAGAGGGGGAGGGGGTGGAGTGGAAGCGTGGGCGTTGGCGTGCACATGATGTGCATGCATGCGTTTTCCTAAATGATTTCCAAAGAATTTTTATTGGTGAAAAAGGGGAAAGCGAAAAAACAGAAAACTGCAGCGGCACGCAGCAAAAATATTGCAATAAACGAGAGAGATTATTTGAGCAAGACAAGAATTTAATATCACACATAAATTCAGATAAAATAAATTTTTTATAATTATTGGTTTAAGTAGACTTATCTTTTTTGAACCAGTTAAAATAAGAAGAAAATAAGTAGAAATAATATTGGTATTTAATAGCATGTTTAAAATATTAAAGGTAATGGAATTCCTAGTAATATTTATTTAAACTCTTATTTTTTCTCTGTGCACTTGCAGCGTGCAACGACAAAAACAAAAATCGATGGAACGGGTGGCGTAGGAAACTTTATTGGCGTCTTCAAATTGTCAACTCGAAGTTCCGAAGTGTTTTATTTTATGCTTTGTTTCTCATATTTTCCGATGCCTTTTGTTGCCCAGCCCGTTGTTTTATCGCACATCTGTAAAAGGGCTACGACGGCTCTCAGTTTCAGATTCGGATACAGCATATAGACCATACATATGTATATATGCGTATATGGACTCTATATGTCAGATGGGCAATGGTTATGGGGCCATTCGGCTGGAGTTGAAGTTGAAGTCTATGACGATGGCTTTTTATTATGCGCATTTGGGTTTTTATGCCTCGGTTCCGGCATGTTTTCAAACACATATCTAAATATCGTACTTAAACGTTTACACATGTGATCGATGCGGGGGTGATTGAAGGAGGGGCCTGTGGCAGTGGCAGTGGCAGCAAATTGAAATGGGGGACCATTCGGCATTTAGCCGGCGGAGTCGAAGTGTCAATGTTTTCTCTCTCGGGAAAGGGTTTTTAATGATGTGGCTGGCTTTATGGCCCATCAAATGGCTCTGTCAACACTTTGCTTAGCGTTTTGCAATGTCTTCGATAATGTCTCGATGTCCATTAAATCAATCATTATTTGTTTTACTTCGTGCGTATGTCCAAAGAAGGAGACTTGCCACAATACCGATAAAAGAAACAAATGAAATGGCTTGTTTTAAAATTATAAAACGGAAAGCTTTCATTTATTGCAAAACATAGGTTCTTTTTGAGGTCGCTGAAGAAGTTAACTGGATTAACAATTGTTTTTGTTTTTAAAGGAAAGTTTAAACCATAATTTGCTTGGATTCATACAATACATTTATTATTTCCTACTTCCTTACATTGGCATTCAGAACCAAATTCCACCTTTGCTTGTCTCAAGATTCCGGGGAAAAAAAAGGATGGAAAAAACCAACCCAGAGAACTGGGAATATTTAAAATGCAAACGAAACATAAAAACTTTTCTTTATGGCCGCAATTATAATTCGATAAAGCCGCAATCTTCTCGAACGCACGCGATGGGGGAACGAGAGCCAATTGGCATGACATTCGGAGGCGGCCAAAAACTTTAACCTGGCCAAATGATACTTTCGATGGGAGTTGCGTGCACCGCCTGTGTGTGTGTGGTGTGGTGTTGGCCAAGTTGGTTTTGGATTGCGTTGGGGATGCTGCGGATGCCGGTATCAGCTACAAAAACTGCCGCCAAGTTCATAACGAGCAATACTTTTTTATTGGCTTTTGCCAGCGCCAAGAACCCCTAAGGCAACTAAAAAAATTTACATTTTTATTAAAATCTTCTCTTTTGGCAGCCGAACTACACATGCACATCCACACACACACACACACCCGTGTGCACATGTGTGCGATACCATGGGCTGAATAAAATTGAATTCGACTGTGATTTTGGCCGGAATAGCAGGGCAAGTCAGGGCAGGAACACCTATAAGCCGGGCCAAGACAGCAAGTGAAGGCATAAATTGGTATTTATTGAACAATACCACCGCCCCGAGGATACTTAATTAGGAGTGTGCATTGTGCTTTTCAGCAGGGGTGAAATGCCCCAAGGTAAGCGGCTTACAAGGTGGTGGCTTCTCCCTACTGACTTCCATCAATCACGAACAAAAATATTAACTTCAACTAATGGAGAAGTTTTAAGTTGTACTGCCAGAGCAACTAACTTTGCCAATTTTATCTCTAGTCCAAACTAAACAACATTTGTGATGGGAATTCTGAAGGAATTGCGTTCAAATTTTTCAAATCGGAGGTGGTCCACTTTTTGCATCCTATTCATGTCAGATCTTTTCCAATTTTCTGATGAATTGCAATAGGAGACCCAAAATCAGTATCCCAAATCGGATATCGTTTATGGTCTTCCAGAAGCCATAATTCTGACAATTTTAATCCGATCTTAAACTGACGTAGCTCTTAACATTTGTGATGGATTACTTAACGAACTGCGTTTAATTTTTTAAAATCGGAGATGGTCATTCTAATAAGATATTTGTTTTGAAAAAGCATAAAAAGTAAAGTTGATTTTAAACATGATATTATATTAACATCTTATGTAATTTAATTAAAAGTATGTGAATGTTGAGGAGAGGTTCTTCCTGTGTAAATATTGGTGGTTCTTCGTCTTCTGCGAAGATGAATGAAAGCGGTGACTCTAGGGTTTTCGGGTTTCGCTGCCAGCCCACAGCTGCTAAAATTCATTTCGAACTTTGCAATATATCTACATACCATATACATGTATATGTATAATAAATTTCCATTTGCCGCTCCGCTGTTGGCGTTAACGTTAACGTTTAACCCCACGCAACCCGGCAGGCGCCCGGCATAAGTTCAAACTGGTACGCGCCGCCTCAAACATGTGTTTATGGATGGAGCTGCTGTAGCTGTAGCTGCTGCCCCTTTGTGTTGGTTAGTATCTGTGTGCTTTGTTTACATATTATGTACATATTTTTTGGCCTCTTGTTTTGCACGCCGTCGATAAGCGCGTTCTCCCCGCCAACCCGCCTTACCCCCCACCCCCCTGATTTGCCCATTTTTTCCACTCGCTTATCAAAAGTTGCCCAAGCCCAAGCTGTTTACTTGAGCAACAATCTGCTGCCAGAGCCCAGAACCCAGAACCCAGAGACTCGCTTCCAGTTCGAGGCACCCAGTCCAAGACTTAGTCTGGATTTCGCTCGCTCCTCGCATCGGAGTGAGTTTTCGGCGCTTAAAGCTCTTAAGACTTTAACGCGACTTTAAAGTACAACCAGCCGTGCATCGTCATCCTCGTTCCACGGGAAAGTCTGCGGCGTAACAACTGCTTTTGAAAATTGTAAATTCACAATGCGGCGCACATCTCGATTGATTCCGTTCGGTTTCGTCATCCTGAATCTGCTCCTCCTGCTCTTCCTGCTCCAACTCCTCGTCCTGATGCCATCCACATTCGGCCACACACGTAAGCCCCGGGTTCGCTGGCAGGCCATTGATTATGGATATGTATCCAGCCACACGTGAAAAAACAAAATGTCTCCATGACATTGTAGGCTCCTCTGTGGGGTAACTCACTATTACTTTCGGAAAATGTTGTGCCAGCTTGAGTTATTCCATGGGAGAATAACAATTGATGCACAAAGCTCACAATCTGAATTTTCATATGTCAGGTTGTTAGAAAAGTGATTCCAAGAAATGTGAATTATTAAGCTTCTAAAAATTTGAGAAATTGTTAACAAATATATAATGGAATTTCGGTTTCAGATTATGCGCTACTTAAACTTTAAGTGAAATACTCTTCTGAAATATATTAAAATATCTTTTTAATACAAAATTTCATAGCTCTTTAAACTCATTAATTTCTTTAACTTTATAAGAACATATTTAACATATCTCTACATAAAGTAAAAGTATACAGATATTATGAAGAATGGTATATTAAGCTATATATTATATAGTTAAACATTAAAAAGTATGCAAAAATGGTTTTCAAAAACAATTCAAATAAGATTTTCTGGTACGAGGTAGACTTACTAGATATTGTAATTAATGTATAATATTGTTTATTATTGTAATATATGATAATAACTTCGGTTTTATCTGCTTTATGTCAATGTTCTGATATGTTCTGATATTATCAGATATTTTTTAATATTTTCTGAAATTTTCTTATATTTTGTATGATAATTTTTTACTGTGCCTGGATGACCGTCGTCTAAAGTGGGTCCCAGCTGCCAGACGCCGGAGCGGACTGAAGGACGGTGTGTGCACTTCAGCGCCTGCCGTTCGGTCCTGCGGCACTACGCGATGTACAAGGAGCACATGCCGCCGGTGATAATGCGATCCTTGCAGCGGGCCCGCTGCAAGCCGAAGAACCAAGGCGTAAGTTGCCGGGATACGGGGTGCTGGGCACAATAAAAGTGTCTGGAAAGAACAATAAGCCCCGAATGGCTGTGATTCTAATGAAATTTCGCCTCTTTTCTCTTCGACGGAATGCGGCGTATATCTCTCCCCTGACAACATCAAATCAACAAAGTATCATTTGTGCTGCGAACTCAAAGATGTGATTCCCGCGAACGTGAACGCGAACGCCAACTCAAAGTTGAAGTAAATCAACTTCAAAGTGCCTCGCCTCATGTGTTGCCTGTGTGGGCTTTGATCTGCTAAATCAGTCGGTAGCTTTTTTGTTTGGGCCCATAACCGAAATGTTATGGCTGCTGGGTCGCATCGCATCGCATCGCATCGCTTGTAATTATAATGTGTACACGAATTATGTATTAAGTGCGCCTTCCTTTCGTCTCGCCGGGCAACAGATGCTGAGACATAATAAAATAAAAAAAATAAAAACTTCAGCCTCAATCTTGACAGCATTTCTCTTTGGCGAGGGTTCTGCCTTGAGTTTTGTGTGTGTTTTACTTAAAGCTCACAACTGACAGCTCTGAGTTGCAGAAATTCTAAAGGGAATACCAACTCAAAAGACGGGGGTTTATTTACCAGGAGCCCTATTAAGGGCATAAATAAATTTTAACCTGCAGAATTTCACTGCTTGCTGGGTCAAAAGAAATACATACTTGAAATACATTTAACGTCCGATTTGAATTCTGTCAAAGAGAAAGATATTCTCTCTGGACACCTGAAACTCTTGACTTACCTACCCAGCATAAATACCTTTGCTTATTCATTTAAATATTTGCCTCCGAGTTGGATTTTATTTTGCCGTAGATGAACTCTTGCTTGTTCGGTGTTTAAATTCTCCCTTTTCGGCCAACAAGGGTTTCCATTACACAAAGCTTCCTCGCAGCGAGCGGAGAGTTCATTCCCTGTTATTTAATTTTGATTTATGCTCGTATCTGGTGTTGAAACAGCCCTCGTCGTCGACTTCCTCCTCCTGTTGGCTTTAATGTGCCAGATTTTAAGTGACATTCGGGAGACGCTAAAAGGCCGTCTAAAAATCACGCAACATTAAGATGATTTATGCGGAATAATTTCAGTGTAAATGAGGCAGACTCTGGAGTTGACCAGGAACAGCAAATGGCAACGGCAACGGCAGCCGGTCGGTGGTTGCTTTGGGCCTTTCGCAAAGGAGTTGCAAGTGGGTTTTGGAGTCTGGAGACTGGAGAGCTCTCTACAGTTGGGGCGTTGAAATGTAGACACCTTGTGCGCGCACGCTGCTCGAATTTCAAGCCGAGGCTGGAGGCTCCAGCTCAGCTCTTAGCTGGATATTGCTGCTGTTGCTGTTGCTGCTGCTGCTTCTGATGTTGTTGCAGTTGCTGGTTGCTCGTTGCTGTTGCTGCAACGCCGCTGAAATTGCAGACAGCGGGCAGCTGATGATAAATGGCCCGAAAACACATTTGGGTAGCACATTTTGGGTAGCAGCTTCAGCAAACATGTTTAGGCCAAAGCAGCTGCACCATTCGCCGGCTTTAGTCTTTAGTCTTTTCAGTGTTTAGTCTTCAGACTTGGCTCTCAGCGTGTTTGCAATTGTTGTTGCTGTTCGCTGCTGGCTGTTGGCTGTTGCACGATGTTGTTGCTGCGGTGCAACAAATGTTGTTAACAAGCATATTTTGACAGCTCAACAAGATGTTGCCAGATGCGCGAACAGCAACAAGAGCAGCATTTGCAGCAACAACAGCAACAGCAGCAACAACAACTTTAGCTGTTGCAACGAGGCCATCTGCATATGCCATAAAAGGCGAAACAAAAGTAAGGCAAACCCATGGACTATATGGGCTTCTATATAGTGTGGGGGTGACTATGGGAAAGTTGTGGCTTTCTACTCCATATATATAGAGTATAGAGTATAGTGTTTGCCTCCCCGCACAGCAATTGAAGTTAGTGAGGCGCAGAGTCCATTGCGAGAATCCATGTGTGCGGCAGACTACTTCAGAGCGAAAAATGTGGAACATATTGTTTCAACCGAATGCCAGCCTTGTTTTTAAAAACTATTCTCTGTGCATTTTTATTAAACCTACCAGTGGCTTTAATGAAACACACAAACAAGGGAGGGGAAAAAAGGGGAGGGTAGAGCAGCATCTCTGCATTGCATGGCCACATCTATTTGCTAATTGCATTTCGTTGTTGCCGCTTCGCTGTTTGTTGTTCTGCGGCCACATACCTTTCACGCGCACTGTTCCGGTTTTCAGCCCGCTTTTCAGCCCGCTTTCTGCCCGCTTTCCCACCTGTCACCTTGGTTAAATATCGCTTTGTTCCAACTGTCGCAACCGACACATCCGAATGTCTTGTCCTTGTCCTCGCATCGCATCGCATCGCATTGCCTCGCATCGCAGGCACATCACATCACATTCGCATCGGGATATCCAGGAACTTTTTGGGTGGGGAGAGAGGGTGGAACATCAAGGGGGTGGAAGGGAGAACCAAGCTGCAGTCACTTCAGTTCGCGGCTTGTCTATCACCTGGCCAAGGAAAATGCAATTAACGAGCGCCATCAAAACGGCAAAAGCCTGCGAAATGAAAGGCAGCCAAACAAATGGCTGGCAGAGTGGCAAATTGCTTTACATATTTACACGCCAAATGAGAGCGTTGAATGTGAGCTAGATGCAAACGAAATTTCGCATCTAACAGATTTTTAAGTTAATGGTGTGCTTGTTGAAAAACTTCAATTTGGCAATTCATGGCGTATAGAATAAATATATGGAAATTATGGAGATTGTGTCAAAGAGTTTTAAATCGATTACCCATGTTTTTCGGAGCATAAAAATTGTGTTCCATTTTTTTTTCAATGATAGTTTTTAATTATCTATTGAGGTTATTTTAAATTCGTTTTAGCCAAGCTAAATAAAATACAATTTTCCCCCATTTTGCCATCAATGTTTTTTTGGGGGCTTAGGAAATATCCTTTTTGACATGCCACTTTCGTTTGAAACGATCAATTATGTTCTTCCATGGCCTCAATCAATTATTGTCCCAATATCTCTTCACTTTGTGCATTTAGATACTTGAATTGGCTTGTGTGCTATTCCGTTTCCATTAAGGCGACTATCTTTCCGAAAGGCTTTGTTGGCAAATATCTTCAATGCTAAATGCGTAGAATGCTATCGAATTGACTCAGCTCGGCAGCAAATTGCTGAAAAATGCAGCTTAATGAACCTTCCGTTGACATGCACAAAATTCAGCAACTGGGCAAAAAACAAGCGATGGCAACATTTTCTGCCAATCACGAAGGGCCACCACACAAAAAGCGATGGAGAAGAAAGAAAGCAAAGCCAAATTGCAAGCAACCGCAAATTCAATAAATTTGAAAAGCAATTAATAACTGATTGACAAGTATTTATCTAGGAGGAAATGGCGGACTAACAGACGGACGGACGGGCGAACGGACAACATTTGCCGGACAAAAAAAAGCTGAGGCGGAAGCGGAAGTTGCAACACAACAAGGATGCAAAGAGCGGCAGCCATGTTGTCCGGGGGAAACCGAAACCGAAACCGGGCAAATAAGCGTAATACGCTGGCCAAACACCAAGCCAGAACCAGAATCAAAAACAGGGCCAAAAATTGAAACAGAAACTGGAAACAGAAGCCGAAACCGAAACAGAAACAGAAGCTGAAGCTGAAAATCGGGCAGATGGAGCTGATGGAGCTGCAAGCTGGCGGGAAATGAACCCACGAGATCTGGCGGAAATTCAAAACCCAAAGTCAAATGGAACACAGCAATATAACGCAACGCAACGAATCGACGGAGACGAGATAAAAGAACAATCAACAATACGCCAGCAACAACATTACTATCCTGGCCAACAACATTCTGGCCAACACCAGAATAAGCGGCGTGGAGTGGAGTGGAGATTGGAGCGAAGCCCAACGGGCCAGAAGATGTAGCATAAAATGTAGCGAAAACTTTGGAAAAATCATTAATAATGCTGGGGCAGCGCGATGGCATTGGTTTTCCGAAAGGACAAGCGCAAGGACATGCAGCGCGAGGATTCTCTCTCTCCATCCTCCATTCACCATTCCCCGTTCTCGATTCTCGATTCTCCATTCTAGGTTCCCTGTTCCCTGTTCTTGGGTCTCCAGCTCACCAGCTCACAGCTTTCCGTCAATCAAAGCGCAAACAGAAACAAAATGAATGGCAAACAGTGGCGACTCGGACGCTTCACGTTGGCCAAGTGGCGATAATACACTCAGAGAAACTGATATTGATTGGAAAGTCATAAAAACAAGTAAGTAAACATTTCCCTTAAAAAAAATATCAAGTAATAAGATTCAATTAGATAAAGTCAAACAAAAATCAACAAACTATTTTAGAAAGAAGTTGTTAATAAGTTTTATAGCCAAAGAGAAAATATTAAATTTAAGAACAAATATTTCTGATAATAAATCTTTTTTTTTTAAGTAACGATATTTTATGAGCTTAACAGGTTAAGTTCCAAATCAAACAATTAATTTAAACCTGTGCTCCAGAATCAACATGTTTTAATTTGTAATCCGGCATGTAGTTTTTATTGCCAAGCATGAAAGGAGCACTACCGCGGATTATCGGCCAGCAAAAAGTTAACGACAACTCCATGCATGTTTTATTGCACTTGCACACAATTTAGATTGCAAGTAAGAAATGCAGGAATGGCAATTCCTTGGCTTTTTCACGCGACATGCCTGCCTGCCAGCCCCTTCCTTTTTTTTTTTTTTTGAGTGGAGAAGTGGAGAAGTGGAGACGTGGAGACATGGAGACGTGGAGACAGGGCCAAATCCAACGGATGTCCATTGAAAAGGGGTCAGTAGTCAGAATGGCCGGGCTAAGCGACTGTTTAGCTGCTTGTTTTGCTGCGGTCGTTGGACGGCAGGCAGGCAGGCTGGTTCAAACAGGACATTCTGGCCCTGATGGTCACAAACACAATGATGATGATGATGATGATAATGGAACCCCCTTACTATGATCATAATGATGATGATAATAACAGCGAGCAGGAAGATGATGATAATGACGATGAGACATTGAGCGAGCGATGTGGAACGGATGTGCAGTTGTTGTGGTCGCCAGCCAGCGAGGCAAAGCAAAGAAAAGCACAATTATTCATTTGCACAATGTCAGAAAAGTGTCAGGCGGCAAAAGGAGCAAAGGATTCTATCTTGGCCATTGCCACGGGCATTCCACGCCGAGGATTTCGAGACAAAGGCGCTGCTGCCAAAGGCGATAATGACGAGCTGCAGCGAGCATTATGGCCATATTATCCCATTATTTTATCGGAAGCAAGATGGATAACCCCCTGACTTGCTGAGTTTTGCGGTGCATTCGAGTAATTAAGTGAGCAGAGCCACCCTAAATACCAAACTAGCAAACCAGCAAGTTACCAAGCTGCCAAGCTACTAAGTTTCCCGTGCGGCAAAAGCTAGTTTCGAGCCGA